AGCACAGTAAAGTTTTACAATAGCTTCACCCTTACTCTTAGCAGGGTGAAGCTAATAGGGCACGATATCTTGATGTAATTTTTAAGTCATTAGGATGAAAACACACACACACACACACACACACACACACACACACACACACACACACACAAGGTTGAGACACTGCCACTGAAAAGAAGTCTGCTTTTTAAAACCCATCTCAATGCTGCTATATGACAACATCATTCAGGAGCCATTTAAAAAGTACTCTCTATCCAATATTCTCTGGTTTCTATGGGGTAAGAAGACCATATAAAAATGTCTCTAAATGACGCTGATGTTAAAAAATAAAGGCACATTACTTCCCAACCCTTTAAAGAGCAGACCCTAGAACAGCTTGGGGAGGGAAAGCGAGTCCCATCCTCCCACAGTTGTTAACAAAGGCTTCTAGAGGATGTTAAATATATAGTGACATCATTTAAAAGCTTCTCTATAACAGTCACCATTCCTTAGCGACAGTAATGTCCTTGGCTTTTATTTATTTTGTGCTGCCAGACTAAAACTGACATGGCAATATGCTATTGGCCACTGACAGACATCTGTTGTATGGGAAATGACTAAGTCAGTATCCTGAAGCAATCTAAATCCCCAATGGCAATAATACTTATGCACAGAAAGAAGTCATATGCAGCTGAATTAGCTAAACCTCTTCTCTTCTAGTGTCCAAGTCTTCTCAACTCCCAAACAGTTGTTTTCCTTACTTCTTGCATTTTTTTAGACTAACTTAACTTTAGAGTTGTAACTTCTTTGGTATTTCACTGTATATACTTTTTGCCCTCTTGCTTAGAGGTATCTGCTTAAGAACAAGAAACAGTACGTATACAAATATACAACATATATATTCTGTACATCAGAAGTTCATGGTTATTCACTGGTTAGTGTCCCATTTATATCTGAGTTCTCCACCTTAAAACTAACATCATTGGCTACGTATCAAAAGTCTGCATACTAATTTGTTAAAATAATCAGATAATGTCTCATAATATTTTCCTCATTTTTATTTGAAAAGTTATTTTAAGCCTGGTGCTTATAGAAACAATGAACAGACAAATATTTTTGGAGCCAGATACAGCATGGGAAAGTTAAATGCCAACATAGCCCAACAGGTACATCTCTATTTTATACCAGTTCTGTCAGTGCCATTTTTGGTCTTAGCCTGTTTTTCTTTAAGCTCTGTTTGCTATATGACCCACACATGCACAAGAACAAACACAGAACCCAAGAAATATTGTATTATACTTATAAATTTAACTCTTACACCTTAAAGAATTTCAGTAAAGGTTAGTTCTTATTCACATGAGTAATTTATATAATTAGGAGATCTTTAAGGGCACAAATCCACAAGAATGAAAGCCATCTGACTGTCCTCCCTCATGGAGGAGGCCTTCTATACACTTTCAGCAGTTTCTCTCACTTTTGAACAAAACAAAAAAAAGTAGGTACCTCATGTTGTGAGCTTCTCAAGCAGAATATGCCGAAATATTAAATGACTAAGATAGGGGCCAATAATCGAATTCACAATTTCTTTCTGTCTAGTATTTGATATAGGTGTTAACTGATAAAAATGAAAAGCCACTGTGTACATAGCAGGCAGATGCACAAAAATCATATAGAGAAAAGATGTATGCAGGCTATAAGAAACAGCTGAAAGAGCCTTTGTTACAGATTAAAATGTGCTTAAATACCATGAATTGCATTTAGTGACCAGCTCTGTATGATAAAATGTTAACAAAGACCCTCTTATCTCTACAGCCCAATACATAGCATACCAAAATTGTGTGATGGTCAATACTGTGCCATGGATCACAGCATAGTAACAATTCTAGTTTAACATAAAGAACACTAAATTCCAGATACTGATTGTATAGGTAGTACTGAATCACACACACCTATGAAATACTATACTTTTGTTAAACAGCCAACACTTTGGTAAGTTACACCAAAAAATATTTTCCTATTGGTCTAATGGAATTAAATAAAAATGAGTTAGATAGGATTGTATTTTAACAAGGTTAAACTGACTGTTTTGGATAGTTAACACACAATGCAAATAAAATTATCCTCCCAGATGCTATAAAAATTCACATTCTATTTCTACTACAACTCTGCCCTTATGGTTAAACAAATATTGTCACAGGAACATCATTTGTTGTGACCCTTTGAAAATAAAGTGAACACTTTATTAGCACGTTTTCTGGCATACGTTGCATCTCTGTCACTATGCAATGTCTTAATTTCAAATTCTTGTTTGGAATCACTGCTTTGACAAGCACTATCACTGCTCAAGGTTTGTATGAAGCTTCAAACTGCATATTATCACCCATTGACAAACTCGACATTTTATGAAGAGCCCCTTCTCACCCGACTCATCCTCCCTACCCTGTGTAAATAAGTAACAATTCATTTTATAACCTTGACTTTAAAGTCCAGCCTTTCTACCTTCTTTTTTCTTCTTCCTAAACAAGTGACAAAGAACAAGGAAGCTGATTGAAGGGGTCCATTATGTATCAACTTAAAGAAAGGCAAAGTGATTGATGAAACTAGCAGTCACCTTCACTGCTAGCTACTGCACCTGTATCCTTTTTGTCAAATGACCTGAAAATCCTGCTGACAGTTTAACATTCACCACAAGGATACACTGTACAGTACCGTAGTTTAATATTGTTTTATTTGCTGTGGAAATATCCAGAATAATCCAGAATTAGACTTTTATAATTGCTAGAGATTTTTATTTTCCTCCCATATACTCTATGCTTACTGACAGCTCACTTGGCAAAAGTATCCAGAGTATCAGGTAAGCTATAACTCTACTGTAAGGTGTTCATATGGTTAAATACTGCAAAATCCAATCATTACCTCAGTAGGACTTACTAACAGTGATCCACAAACCACAAATAATTTTCATTGGTAACTGATGGCTGCTTAAAGGAGACATCTCACTTTTCACGCTTTCCTTATAATATAAGAGGGCCGAAGTTTCAAAGCTAGTTTAACATTGTCACCGCTAATTTTAAAGTATACAATTTAAATATGATTTTAAGTTCTTAAGTAATCAATACTCAGCTGCTTAAAACAGGCCCCTTGGACTAGCAAAATAAACTTTCCTGGTTGGAACAGAAGTTTCTTTCTTTTTTTCTTTTCTTTTTTTTGGTGGGGGGGCTTGCATCTTTTTCACAGTACTAAAGCTGGTGACAAGCTTACTATGTTCTTTCTGAAAGAAAAATTTCACTAGGCAATGGTGACACACTTGAAAGGCAGAAAAATCTCAAAAGAAGCTGATGTATTCTGTGTGGGACACAGCACCATTTCCTCTGGGCATTTATTACCTGTTAAAAACCAATCTTTTGGTGAGTGGCAGTTCAGGGTTTTTGAGAGCAAGCTGCAATATTTCTTCGGGTCTGCAGAGTCATAATTAAAGCTGAACTGAGTGGAATTGGAGAGGGAAGGTCAGCGAGGTGCCGTATGAGAGATGAGGCTGGGCTGATGGGCACCAAATGAACAAATTATGATGGGCCCCACTCAATGTGATGAGGTCAAATGCTTGTTTCTACCCACTGACAGTTCAATTTCCCTGAAATGTCTCTCGGTTCTCTATGAGCTAATTATGAATGAAAAGTTATCAACTGCCCACACCAAAAGGAGCTTAAATACTATTTCTTGGAGCTCTTAATGTCAAAATATTGTTAGAAACACCATATTGTCTCAGCTTTTAGTCAAACAATACTTGGGTTAATTTAAATATCAGTAGTAAAATACATACTTGTTACCTACAATGTAGACATAAAGCAAATTCTCCAATGGTTATCTGCTTAGCAAAATAAATGAAATATTTTTTATCAAGCAAACTTATATTAATGTTACGACTCATTTTCACAGAAACAGTACAACGGCTTATGGCTTTGCATATCACAGTCTTCAAATGGCACTATATATTTTTCCCTGGAATGACATTACTGGATTATTAGCTTTTAAGCATGAACCCTCAAATTTGCCCCAGAATATAAATTTATCACCCTATGAGAGCTATTGACAAAAAAGCACACTCTTTTTATGGAAGCTCAGTTTTCAGAAAGTAATTTCTCACAGTCTGCATTTATCAGTAGTTATTTTCTTTGCATGTAGAAGTACAGATGCCTGCAACTTCTTTCCAAATACACTGATATTTGATAAATATTGGATAGGATGCAATAGAAATAAGCTCCTTTTTTGAAAAATAAAATCATTTGTCACTGGTTTCTTTAAACCAGCAGTTATGAAAAAGAAATTTCATGGCATTTTTCATCATTTAATGGTTTTGAGCTGCACTTAAAGGTTAATATTTCAGTTGATCTCAAAATTAGGACATTTTCAGCAGAATATAATTTCCAACTAGAAGGTTATCTACTTTCTTTCTAGAGATGTTCCTTTCAAACTTTGTGACCTTTGACCCAGAGCATCAACAAACAGAAACTACTGACTCTTAAAAACAGTTTTATGAAAAGGAGACACTACTTTACTTACCAATTTATTGAAATTATAATCTAAGCACTAATTGTGTCTGAAGCAATCCAGACACTGAAGATACTGCCTCAGGAAGCTAACAAAACTACGTTGATCTTTTATTTTGGTTTCACATTCCATTAAATCTCAAAGTACAGCTGCATTATAGTTAATTACACATTAAGACTCAAACGCAACTGAAACAACCACAATTAAACTCAGAAACCATCCATTTCCAGCCCTCATTTATATTGTTCTTAATATTTACTTACCTGGAGATTATTTTGATGCTGTTTCAAAGAGAAAACACCTCATCGTTCATCAAGGAGAGTGACTAAATAAGTAATAGCATAAGTAAAAAGCATTTTAAGATAAGGAGTCTTAATATAACAGTGCATGGGAAAAAGCTATATGGATATTCCTTTTTGTGTGCATTATGATAATTTGTGGTCTGCAAGTGGAACATAGTATTAAATATATCAAAATATCAATTGCGGTAACTGTTTGGCATACCACATTATTAGACACATTGTTGATCAAGTGTTATTCCAATAAAAAAAATAGTGCTGCACAGAGTTCTCCTGTTTAAGTACCACAATTAAGAGCAGAAAAATGCAGTTCGTTCATTACAGAACCTTTTTCGGAAGTTGATTTTTTCTAATTCTTATTGTAATTGCATTGTTCTAATCCAGTATTATAAAGGCAGCTGCTTGCCTATCATTTGTACTTTCCTCGTTAATCCTGACTCAGTGAATTAACCTTTAATTACAGCCGTTAAAATTGAAATGAGCCTCTTGTCTGGCTGGGGCTGCCCCCTTTCAGTGCATGATTCTGATGAAAATTTTTAGGGTCAATGAATATGTCCCATGTCATGTCTGATAGCTGCTAAAGCTGTGAGGAGGTAAATGTTACCTTAGAAAGATGTGATTTGAAATTTTTAAGAGCTGGGTTTTATTGACAAAATAAAACAAAAATAGAGTGGGAAGTTTCTTAGTTGTGTGAGTTATGTTGCAAACCTTAAACAGAAACAGTGGTTCCATTATTTGGGGTATCACTAGTATTATACGTCTAAGCATATTCTACATCAGTTGCTTTGCATTGTAACTGCATTTGACTTTTAGAGTGGATCTTATTTTTAGGAATACATAATGGTCAAAAAATATATAGGTAGATTGTGTTTGCTGGAAAAAAGAAAGGACAGTATTGCTTTATACTTTATGGGCTTATGTAAAAAATCCTAAATTGATTTAATTATTTTTTGGGGAAGGGGGCTGTTCTTTATCTTTAGTGGTAAACAGAGAAAGAAGAAAGGCTTACCCCAATAACAATACCTCTAAAATAATGTATCAAGGCTTCAAAAAACAGATAGATTTGGGGTACACCATACTTTTAAAATAATATTATTTTTTCTGTACGTTAACCATTCAAAATAGTTCACTTCTCAAAGATAAAATATTCCAGTTATGGTTAAGTTTTAAGTTGTCAAGACAAAATATGAAGGAGGCACCAACCAGCTGCATTATAGCTAATCATGTTTTTTTCCAGAATGCCGGGTTTCTCAGGCACATAAAAATGGAAATCAAACTGAGCACACAGACTGACAGCTAGATACCCCACTAATAAATATCTATCTATTGTCAATACTCAAGCACACATCCACTACCAAAAGACAATGCTCACTACCATAGATAGCCCAAGTAAATAAGTGATACAACCCAGAGTTGTAAATACGCTGCCTGGAAGGTCTAGTATGAGGGGAAGATTTAAACAGGGAATTTATTTTTGATTTAGAAATTAAAATAATGCTCACAGCTTTAAGCAACTTTAAGCCAATCTCCAAACATGTCACTTCATTTGGAAAATTAGAAGTTGTGAGCAGTTTAAAGTACTTAGAATTGAATTTACTTTAGAATAATACATTTCAAAGACAAAGAGGACACATCCCCACTTGCAGGCGTGTGTGCTTGCAGCAGCAGAAAAAGTAGTGGCACATTGGTGCACATGGGCTTTGTTGCAGGACAAAATGTCCTGTTTTGGGGAAACTGATATTTCCCTGCTCTTCCTGGCGTTCTGGAGGAGTTAGGGTAGAACTAGAGGAAGAGAAACAGTCTGGCCAGACAGAGTGATTCCTGAGAGATTTCACCTGGGAGGACTAAGCCTCCATTTCTGTATCATGTGAAACACTTTTTTCCCCCCATGGCATTTTTTTTTTGCTACCAGGATTCCCTGATAGTAAATTTTGCCCCAACACTGCAAATCTGCAGTGCGGGA